CAATCAGAAAAATGAAATGCTTGGTTCAGTGCCGGAGATTCTGAGTACTGACTCAATAAAATTCATCTTGAATCCAGTTGCTTAGTTCTGTCAGAATCGCTTTTCTTTTATTCCACAGAGTGAAACGGAGAAGAAACAGGCATGGGAGTTTATTGAGAAATTGTGCAAATGTAAGGTATGAATTGAAACTGAGAATTAAAACTGTGAATAAGCAGCGACCCTTGCTACAGGTGACCAACTAGCGGACAGAGGTCACCTGCTCATGACTCCGGTGGCAGTTTTCTCCAGGCCGATGGCCTCATCCGCGCCATGGAGGCAGAGCACACGCGGGGGCAGGAGATGCTTCCCTTGGTCCCGCGTGACGATAACCCTTATCTGCCCGCATTAGGTACCAAACCACCCGCCCCACTGCGGGGTGCTGCCATTGCTATGCCTGGGGCAGGAGCAGCCGCTATGATATCCTTGTTCCTGAGGAACCCGTCCTGGATCCCCATGAGCATGGACCTCAGGAACCYGTCCCGGATCCCCATGAGCGTGGACCTCCTTTGCCGGGATATTGGGATTATAAATGGGCTCATGCTGAGCACCAGGAGGCTCTGTGGAGAGGTACAGATGATGCACACAACAGCACTAGGGCTCCTAGGCTCAGTGGAGCTGGGTGGGCCCTCACACCTGGCGGCTGGTTTTTAACTATATCACAGAATACTTAAGGTTGGAAGGGACCTCAGAGTCATCTAGTCCAAYCCCCTGCACACACAGGGTCACCTAGAGCACGTGGCACAGGGCTGCATCCATGCGGGTTTTAAAGATCTCCAAAGAAGGAGACTCCACAACCTCTCTGGGCAGCCTATGTTCTATATGTTCTATTTCAATATAGTTAAAAAAGTCCTCAGGGAATATGAGGAGGGAACAGCAGCACAGCTCCAGCTGCTTACAGGCACTTTGGGACTGGTTTAGCAGGCATGGTGGTGATGCGTTTACGCTCGGACTTGACGGTCTTTTCCAACCATAATGATTCCCTGATTCTATGGCTCTCCCTTCCTCCACCCTGACTCCCTCACAGCAACAGGACCCGGGGTCGAGAGCCCACCCGCCCGCCTCACGCGGCGCAGCCGGCACCGCCGCCAACCAGAGCATCAACGTGTGGGCGGGYCCTCCCGGCGCGGGCGGCTCCGCGGGGGCGGGGCGGCGCGGAGCGGAGCGGCCATGCGGCGGCGCGAGGAGGTGGCGGCCACGCTGCAGGCGGCCAAGCTGAACGCGGCGGAGGAGCTGCGCGCGGGGCGCAGGTAGCGCGCGGGGCCGGCGGATGCGCGGGCGGGCGCGTGAAACAGCGGCGGGGAAGCGGCGCCTCAGGGAGGCGGGAAGCGGGAGGCGGGAAGCGGCGCCTGAGGGAGGCGGGAAGCGGCGCCTGAGGGAGGCGGGAAGCGGGAGGCGGGAAGCGGCCTCTCAGGGAAGCGGCGCCCCTGGGGGCCGTAGCTGCCCCGTGGTTGCGTTACGAGTTTGCTCGGTGCAAACGCCGCCGCGAAGGATACGCGGACAGATGAAAACCGTCCCCCCTTGTTGGCRGCAGCGCCGGTGACGGCGTGATAACATATTTTGCGTTGATGCATCGAGCCCCCTCTAAAGATACGTGTAGGAGGCCTGGGCGAGGCGCAAGGCTGAGGGCTGATCGCATGTGTGAGCTGGGGAGGGCATTTCCCTCCTCCCGTGTCCTGGGGCGTGCTAGAAAACTTAATTTCTATTTATTTATTTCCTCTCCATGATTAATTGCACGGCAATAGAAGTGCTTCTCAGGGGGGAGGGAGGGCCCTGCGGAGCTGGCGCTGCCACCCTGGCTTGCTGCCCATCACCTGGGGCTGGTGTCAGCCCTTGTTAAAGAAGAGCTCCGGATGTAAGGGGGTTCCTTCCATCAGTGAGCTAGTCCGAGTTGAAGCCTCCCTCGTCCCGTGCTGCGGGTGTCTGTGCGTGGGAAATCAGTAGGCGAAGAAGTTAATTGTGATTGCAGAAAAGCCTGGCCTGGCTCCTTCGGGGTGAAAGAYGGGACATGGCAACACGTGGCATTAAGATGTTTTGGATCGACAGCTACATCTTATTACTCTCATTACTGTCACCAACTATAACTGCAGTTTATGACTTCCTTGACAATGTACACATTCTRAAAATGGGCCGACAAATTTAATAGGTGCTCATGTCAAAGTAGAGGTACGTCTTAACCATCTTTGAGAGTTTTGTGCCTTTTTTCCTTTCAGTTTAGTGATCCGTGGTGAAAAGGACGAACAAGCAGTGTTGTGCAGCAAAGACAAAACCTACGAGATGAAAATAGCAGACACCTCCAATATGCTCCTGTGTGTTCCTGGCTGCAAAACTCCGGAGCAGCTAAAGGCGGATGAAGAACCTTGTGACATTATTCATGCCCAGGTATACCTGCCTGGCTTCTTGCTCATTTGCCTTAATTCTCTGATTTTTTTTTTTTATCTCTGCAGTTACTTGTAATTTACCCAAGGTGCTTACGTGAAATGCTGGCTGAGATTCAGCTGCCCAAACACTGCCTTGTAGTGCCATTTAGATGCCTTGTCGTTTAGGTCCCGCTGCCCCTCCAGGAGGTCACGGGCCTCCTGTGGGTCTCTGCGTATCTAACAGTCCCGTGAGGATGTTTTGATGATGGTCATTTATATCCAAGGCATCTTGGATGCTTTGTGCTTTATGTAAGTCCATGCTGTGCTTTTTGTAAGTACAAAACTTAACCAGTAATGCATGAGAATTACTGTTTCTAGGAAGCTCAGGCTTTAATTTTATTGAGTGGTGATTACCTGTGGTWAGTGTTAAAAGGTTTTGAACAATACCGAATTTCTCAGCGTTAGCATCTGTTTTAAAAGCTGTTTGCAGACTCATAAGTCCTTTACCCCCAAAAAAGCAAATTATACAATGTCATGCTTGATTATTATTTTTTTTAAGTACAGACGTATATTAAAAGGTGACTCTTATTCAATCAACATATCTGGAAAGATCTGTTGAAGTGAATGGAGTTTAAAGAGTCCATTATTCTCTGCTCTTGTGAACTGTAGTTAATACAGTTCACAACAGTAACTGTAGTTCAATACTGTCTACTGTCTGTCTACTAAAAATAGTTAGAATAAGGTTAATACCTGCTCATTATGTTCATTAGAGCAAATAATGACATAATTAAGGAACAATCCTGATTGTCCTTAAGTGACTTAATACTCAAAGCCAACATGATTTCCTCCGTTAAATGACACCAGTTAGCAAAATGAAAACTAATTTAAATTCAAGTGAGTTCATGAAAAAGTTGCRTTATTCCATATTATCTTTCGGTATGTTTAGTGATCTCACTAGTTCTCTGACGTCACACATGTCAAAATAATATAGATGTGATKTGATTAGGAATTATTTGGGAGGGAGTGGGCTGTGTCCCGTAGCTACCAGCTTTCTTAATGCTTTTGAAAACTTTATGTTGTATACTGACACTGAAAATTCTGGGAGATGGCAAGAGATCCTGTGCACTGCCATTCTTTACAGTTGATCAGTGCTGTTCTTTRTATCACTTGGAGGGATAATTTATAGGGCCAAAGCTTCTGTCATATTTAYCTTACATAGACTAAGTCTAGTTGTAAACTTTGAATTATAAATTGATATGATTTGTTTGCTACTGTCTTGTTCATTGCTATTTTGCTCAGAAAAAAATCTTGTCAGAAAGAAGATCTTAACACTTACGTAAATACTTCTCATTCCCTGTGGAGAAAAACTGTAGAACTTTCATCAGGAATTAAGTATTTATCAGAATATTATGCCAAGGAAGCTGTGGAATAATTATATTAAAAACTATAGCCTTTCTCTGTCTTAGAATTTGGATAGCACTTGTCCCACATACAGGCTGTTTCCTTAAAATTGATTTAGAGGGATGAAAGTGGGATAATACAGATAGGGCTTTTTATGGTAGTTGTGCCCATAGTATTAAGAGGAAAAGAAAGTTTGGCAAGGATTGTGTAGGACTGTGTCTCAYTGCTGTATTCCATTACATACAAGACACCATATGGCGATGGTCTCTTTCTCTTTGTTATGTGCACTGTGGACATATTTTCATCAACAAACTCTGGACTTTTATTCTTTATTCCTAGTGGTAAAATTTGATTCCCAGTGGTTGAAATATTAGTGACTGTCTCATTCTTAAACTTGTTCGCTTGCTTAGAAAAATAAATCTTCCCAATAATTAGATTAAAACTCTTTGCTAGTAATTTCTGGTAAGCTCCTTTGAATGCACATAATAGATAGAAGAGTTTTACGTGTCTCTTTTCTTTCTCACCATAGATTGCTGGCTTTTCCAATAACTACTGGGAATTAAGGAGATGCCGACCTAAACTGAAGAAGCTGAGGAAGCTTTTAATGGAAGATCCATATGAGGGGCCAGACAGTGCAAAAGATCAGGCTTCAAGTCCTTCAAGGGTAAGTCAGCTCAATGACACATTTTCTTGTAACTGGAAGCAAATGGAAATAAAGACACTTTCTTAAGCAGAAAAATATCATTGCTACCATGTTTTGTGGTGCATCTTTGAGTTGATTTATTTATAATCTGCTGCTCTAAACTAGGTGGCAACTGTGAGCGGTTCCACTGATGGTAGTGGGTAAGTTCGATGGTAAAATAGGGAAAAAGACCTTGAAGAAAACTGGAAATTTATTTTCTTTTAATGGAAGAGAGCTTTTGAGAACAGTGTTGAGAACCTATTATAAAGTCACTGTGAGTTATATGACTACTAATGTTTAATGCAACTTTATCTTCTTGATACATGACATACATGATGTCATGTGTGACCCAGGTTTGAGGTAACAGGAAACCCACATATGATGATGAGGAGAAGCAGGGAGGTGCAGAGAATGGTAATTACAATATGAAAACAGAGAATAAGACTGTTGCAAGAAGGTACTGCAGTTTCCACAGCAGCCTCCCATCTCACCAGGGTACTGGCTCACAAGAAGCTGTGGCCAGTTCTGAGCTACGTGGCTGATTAACTGGTTAGCAGACATGAAAACACAACTGCTCTGTCATTAGACTGTTTTTTATATTGAATAACTTTGCAAAATTGTTGTAAATTCCTGGAGACTTTCAGAGTGTGGTAAACTCTATTGAATTCAGATTCTGGAATGGAAAAATGCTTTTCCAAGTTTTATTTTGGTTATGTTTTATGATGCAGTTTGCATGCTTGCTAAAGCAACACAGAGAAGGGATAACATGTTTCTTTTCTCCATCCCTCCCTCCCTCTTTTCCTCTCTCTTCCTTTTTTCTTTTTTTCTATCCTCATTGCAGTATACAACAGAAGATTTATTAAACGTGGTTCAAGCAAGTGAAGACGAAATAATGCACCAGTTGCAGGTTTTAGATGCCTGCCAAATTGAAGGTATTTGTCTCTACAGAGCATTATTGCCTGTGTTTTTGTCTTTCCAGGTGTCCGTGTTGTCTTTTTCTAAGGGCCATTCCACATGTTTATTTCTCCAGATGTGAATTAGGCCTTGGCTATGGTGCAGTGTCCTAAAATCTGTTGCCATATTTCCTCTACTTTTATTTGATATGAAGCTGATTTTTAAAAAAGCAACCAAGCAAACAAAAAAATCAGAACAAACTGAAAGGTGCTGCGCAGGCATTGACTTCTCTGGCTCTTCTGGGTTTAGTTTCTTTGTGACTCGTAAGCACGTTGGCAACAGAGTGTCCCAGCTGAACCTTTTGGCTGATTGTGGGTAGCAGCTCCCTCTGCTTAATGGGAGACATTCTTGCAGAGAGACTTTCCTGGCCACTTAAAACTACCTAACACCATCCTGCCAGTTACGGGCATAGTTAGTAGAGCACTGACTACACTTCTAAGGTAGTGGTGGTGTGAAAAATAAAACATCAACTGGACTAAGCTGGGTATTGAGATTCACTGTCCAGAGACAGCTGAGTGACCCTGCATGGACCAACTTCCCTCAATCCCTGCTTTGTCAGATCTGTATTTTTATGGTGGCAGGACCCAAACTAACCCTCTTCAGAGCCAGTGTCCTCCCAGTTCTGCTGGGACACGAGATGTGGTGGTGCATTGCTGGGCAGCAGGGAGCAGGTTGCGCTTGTTTGAGTGGGCTTTGCACCACAGGGAGGTAGTTAAATTCTTTCCATATCACAATATCACAGCTGGTCTGTAAATCAGGTCAGTTTGCTTCATGCAGGTGTGTGCTCCAATTAATAGTTTTTCTGGGTCTAGTTCATTTTATGATGGGATTAGAACKATTTGTGGCAGTTAGTCTACATAAACAACCATGAATAATTAAGAGTTGGTGATATTTTCATCTCCTTTGTTTTTGCTAATCTCTTCTTTCTCTGACTGTCATTCCTGAAGAGGTCAGAATACTGTCTCTGAGCTTTGAAAAGGTGGGACCTACGTTTCAGAATTCCGTTATGTGCCTTCAGGGAATAGATTTAAKGTGCTAATGTTTCCATTCTGACATGGTTATGTGCTTTTCCGTTTGGCAGGATATTGGAGAGTTCTAAGCTTTGACTACAAGGTAAAGCTCTTGAATCATGTGACTCAGCTCATAGACTCGGAGTCTTGGTCTTTCAATAAGGTCCCTTTAAATATCTGTCTTCAAGAGCTTGGACCTTTGGAGCCTACGTAAGCAAATTTCTTCTATTTTCCTACTACTTGGAAGTSTCTATAGTCATTATTAACACTTAATAGAAGTATATTCAACCCTATTAATCTCTAGATTCCAGTTATTATCACGTTAATAATATATTTTCTCTGACTCTAAAATATGTAAGTGCCTTAACAGTTCTCTGGTGTATCCACCCAGGAAAACATGACTGTTATGTGTCTTTGGAGGCAAGAAATACTTCTAAACCTTCTGATATCCAGCTAGTTTTACTGATTGATGCAAGGCAGGATTGTGAATTATCTTCTTGGAGACAGAAATAACTATATATATAAATAAAAATATATATATGGTCATTTGGACATGGACTGGCCGACACTCCGGAGGGCTGTGCTGCCATCCAGAGGGACCTGCACAGGCTGGAGAGTTGGGCAGAGAGGAACCTCATGAGGTTCAATAAGGACAAGTGCAGGGTCCTGCACCCGGGCAGGAATAACCCCAGGCACCAGTACAGATTAGGGGTCGACCTGCTGGAAAGCACCTCCACGGAGAGGGACCTGGGAGTCCTGGTTGACAATAAGTTAACCATGAGTGAGCAGTG